ATATTCATCCACTGCTTTTATCCCAAACTGGGCCTCCTTCAGGTGCGAAGGGGTTGCGAAGGAGGAAAAAGAAAATCTTTCCAAAAGGGGAAGGAGGGGAAGCGGTGCGGGGGGGGGCGGGGGTGTCGTGCAGCACGCCTCCCATCAAGCTGTCTTGACAACAATTACTAAAGTTTTTAATTAGCCTCTTGTTATAATTCATTTTATTAATTTTCTAAATCTCAGCCCATGAATTATTAACGGCGGCCCCGTAATTGTGTTTGCCGCGGCGCACGTGATGGCGGCGTCCCCGCCGCGCCGCTCTCCCCGCCTGGGTCCCCTCCGCGCCCCGGCTGGGGAAGGGGCCCGGTCGGCGCCGCGCCCCGCTATTTTATCAACTCTTAAATAACATAATTACCGATAATCACACCCTCGGCTGGCAGGTGGAAACAGGTTCCCAAGCGGATTAGAATTCTGCTGCTGATCTTTTAAAAATCAATTAGGCTTGCCTTCGCTTTGGAATCAGCAGGTAAATACAATAAAGCTTTAAAAAAAATAGCGCCGGCTGAAAAGCGAGATATAAATAACTGGAGGGATTTAAAATCGTTTGGGAAATGCCAGAATAACACAGGGCACCACTGGCGGTATCAAGCTTTATGTGCTCGAGTCCGTCAGAGTTAAAATAATTATCTTTCGACAAATCTATTTCTCTTCGGAGGAAAGGGGGAACACGGGGAGGCGGGGAGGGAGGCACATAAACCATAAAGTCAGTGCTGTAGGACACTTCATCCTCCTTCTGGGGAGCCTTTTTACTTGTTGAACCAGGACCGAATTAGTCTTAATATCACAGGAGAGTAAAAATCAATACGACCGTGGCAGTGGGTGTCTGTTACTCACTTATGATGGCCTAATCTAAGTTGAAAGCAAGCAGAGAGCAAGTGTTAGGCAGAAAATCCGGGAGCCAAACCGGGTCTCGCGGATTTAAGACTGGAAAATCATACTAGGAAAGCGGCGAGATACCTCGGTTGTGGAGAAAAAGGCCATTTAAGGGCCGGCAGCACCGAGGTGTTCCCGGCAAGGGGAACAGGTTGGAGTGCAGGAGTCATTAGAGGCGTCGGCCCCTGGCACAAGGGGTGGGGGGGAATATCTGTATTTTTTTGGTCTCAAATTGCTCTTTTGTATGCAAGAGGTTGCAAACTGTTGAGGAATAAATGCGAACGTATGTTCTGCCTCTCCGTCTTTTATGTTACTTTTTTTCTCGGATGCAAAAGTTTTAACAGTTCTTAGTTTAGACATTATAAACACTCTTTTCTTTTCTTTTCTTTTCTTTTCTTTTCTTTTCTTTTCTTTTCTTTTCTTTTCTTTTCTTTTCTTTTCTTTTCTTTTCTTTTCTTTTCTTTTCTTTTCTTTTCTTTTCTTTTCTTTTC